GGGTATAACGGGGTTTTGGGGATATGCGGATTTTTTGGGCTAAGATTTGGGCGCCGAGTTGGCGAAATGGTTCCATAGGTTAATGGGGCGAGGTGTCCCGTAAGTTAAGGTGGGGTTTAAGGCTAGAGGGTTTAGGGCTTTAAGGTTTGCATCTAGGTTAGGGGTGTCAAGTTAGGGACATCCATAGTCTCTCATGACGGGTCATAACATGCCATGGCTGCTTCTTGATTTCTCAGTGCTTAGACGGATCTGAGAATATTATTCAAAGGTCTTACAATCGAGTCAAACGATCTACTGCGAGGCATAAACCCTAAGTTAAAAACCCTAAATCGGTCATACCATAACAAACCCAGTAGGACGGGGGGTTACACAGAAAGGGCCTGATTGGGGGGGGGCATGACGCGATCACTGTAAGGACTTCTACGTCCCTCCTTATGTAAAGCCCCCGTCATCAGTAACAACAGGGTTTAAGGTTCGGGATGTAAGGTTCAAGTTATAGCTCATGTGCTCCCAAAGTACTGTCCTTAGGCGCTTTCTGCGAACCCAAGTGCCTAGGTGCTGTGGACTTGGACGCTTCAGAGAAACTCATATATAAATCCAGTGAACCATTGCCACCACGCAAACTGCAAGCCCGAAATCTGAGCCACTAAAACCTGAACACCCTGTTGCAGCAAAACCTGAATCACACACACTCTCTGCCTTGCCTGTGAACCGAAACCTATTCCTAAACAGCCTGATGAGCCCTAGACTGCCCTTCCGCAGGATGAGTTTAGGTTTCGGGTTTGGGGTGGCGGAACCCGTTTCAGGATGTATGGCTTAGGCCTTCTCGGTGGTCAGGAACACGCCCGTGGACTCGCAAACGTACTCGGCACCGTGCCTCTTCCACGACTCATGGGCAGCTATCCAACATAGGGTCCCGTTTCAGATACGGCACTCATATAAAACAAAACATACTAAATGGCATCTTTCAGTGGACTGCCCCACATGGCCACCAAGGATTGAAAATGCTCAAGTCATTGTCCGAGTACCCGAATTTATAGGGTTTAGGGTTCAGGGTCTCTTGAATTTCTGGTAACCTGTCGTATGCCCTGTACAAACCATTCATGAACGCTAAATTCATACAGACCCTTATACACCTGCTAAGTCTTTATAGACCCTTTCTAGACCCTGTTAGGCTGCCATTAGATGCCAGGATTAGGGGGACCCTTGAGGATATAGACCCTCTCAATCAGCCCTGTTAAAAGAGCCAAAAGTAGCCTGAGGAAGGGTCCGGTCTCTCTAATCCTGCCTAGCAGCCATAAAGCCATCACAAAGCCGCTTTCAGTCCCTAAACCCTTACCCCAAGGGTCCATAGGACCCAATAATCAGGTACTTAGGTTTCGGATAGTAGTTATGTAGGTTACTATTTGGGAGAGTATATGAGAGTTAGGTACTTGGACCCTCAGGGTTATAAACCTAAGTCAGCCAAGGGTCTCTCCGAACGGGATCTCGGCCGGGTCACGGGTATGGGACAGAGCCACCTGACGGATTGTGCGCACGGCAAGGTTAAGGGTTTTGGGCTTCGGGGCTTAACTAGTTAAAGATTCAGGGTTGTGGGTCCAGGGTCTAGGCTTGGTCTTGCAGGTTTGGCAGTTTGGGGGCGTTCTGATCTTTCAGGGTTTAGGGTACCGTTCAGTGTTCCTTTGAAGGATTCAAAAGGGATCTGCACGGGCTTAGGCTTACCTTAAGAACCCAAAACCTACTTTTTTGTAGGGTCCCTATAAATCCCATATTAGGGTTTATAATACGAACCTACAAAAAAGTGGGTTTTTGGGTTCTTAAGGTAGACTTTAGGGATACCGTTTAGCGATTAGCGTGAGGGTTTAGACGATAGGGTTGGGGTTACGGGCACAGGTTGCTCTCCACATTGCAGCTTCGGGAAAAAAGGCAAGGTCTCCGTATCCCTAACCCCCCACGTACCTACTATATAAGGTACTAGAGCCCCTAAGGCCCTATATAGTAGGTAACTGGGGGGTTAGGGTATCCTAGTCATCTGTAACATTAAGGTTTAGGGGCCTATGATCAAGGCCTTCGTGATTAAACACAGGGTTTGGTTGCGTACCAAGTAAAGCTATGGGGGGACTCTCTTGAAGCCTCGTTCTGAGTCTTAGAGTAGGGTCCAGGGTTTCAGCACTCATCGGACCTTGACGCCTCCATTCATAATGAGGTTTAGCTACAGGGTTTTACAGCGTATCCTAACAGTATAGTCTAGCCTTGGGGTACATTGCAAGGAAAACTACTACCACCATACACTAAGTATTCAGGACCCATATACACAGATTTGTTCTCGAAGCCCTAAGCGCTCACCACTGTTCAAGCTGGAGCGATTTTAGGCTTTTGAACCTCATACACAATTTCCCAACTCCCAAACACAGTAGACTGAGAAATATAAGAACCCCCCAAAGTGGAATCGCCAACAACATGCTTTGGCGCTTCCAACAGATCTGCCTTCTGTCCATCGATGACCAGGGAGTCGCCATCCACCTCCACAACCCCAAAAGGTTTCCGGTTTAGGGTTTAGGGTTTAGGGTTTAGGGTGGTTTAGGGTTTAGGGTACTATTCTGGGGCGGCGTAGAGATGTACGGTTTAGCTGTAGCTTTCCGAGTATCCGAGCACCAAAAAAGGAACTCGTAAACTATGGTAGCTACTCATCGCCTTATAGTTCCGCTAAAGGGCTCTACAAGGGTTGCTAGATGGGCGATTCTAAGGGTTGAATATAGGGGGCATTGCTATCTTCAATAGGGCTTCGGAGACTTTTGCTAAGAGTTTCCTACGGAACAGTATTGGCAACTCTTCAGGACCATCTACTGCTCGGCCCTATATCACGTAACCAGGAAGGCCCAGGTTTTAACAGCTGGCTTTTAGGGTTCCTAAACCTTAAACCCTAAACCCTGAACCCTAAACCCCCTAAACCCCTAAAGCCCTAAACCCCAAAACCCTAACCACTATAAACCCTACATAAAGCTTAAGCCTCAGGCTTCTGATAGGTCCTCACAGGATTTCACGAGGGTTTGCAAACTCCCTGCTTCGGGCTTAGCAATATGATAGCTATAGGATTAGGGGGACCCTTGGGGGTATAGACCCTCTCAATAAGGTCCCTTTTAAGAGAGCCAAAAGTAGGGTTCAGAAGGGGTACCCTTTAAGGGGTACCCCGAATAATACAACCTACAATAAGAGTTGGGATAGAAGATCGGGGTGCATAGGGCGTTAGCAGGGCTTTAGGGGTTTAAGGCCTAAAGGTTTAGGGCCCTAAACCCTAAACCCTATACCCTAAACCCTAAATCCTAAACCCTAAATTTAGGGTTTGGGAGTTTTCGATCTCGTGAATCGAGAGCCTAAACTGACTTTGGGGTTAGGGAGCTCTTTTGTGGGAAGGTTTAAGGTTCAGGCCCAGCCCAAACGCTGCCTCCACCGTTCCGTCGTATTTTCCATGGATGGTATCGTACCTGGAGACGCTCTTTGGGGATTTCAGGGTTAAGGGCTTATGGGCTTAAGGATTTGAGGGTTCAGGGTCGAGGCTTCCCCCAAAGCCCTGAAGCCCTAAGCCCTGAACCCCTAAAACAACAGAATAATCAAAACGAATTCAGGATCCGGGCTTATCAATGTTCTCGAAAGCCCAGAAGCAATACCAAGACACGAAAAACTACTAAGCACAAGCTGTTGAGATTAGCAAGAGTATACCCCCCCCCCCCGATTTCAAAACAGGTATGCAATCCCTTATACCAGGGTTTGGGCGCTTCAGAGTACAAGATAAGGGGCCGATACGCATACTAATTATGTCTCGCCCCTAAACCCTAAACCCTTACGCATCCTGTACGCAACTCTCCAAGAAGGACCCTTGAGACCTGCACTACGCATAGGCCCCATAGTAGTTCCTTTTTGGGATTACCTTATAAGATTCTAAATATGAACCCCAAAAAAGGAACTACTATGGGGCCTATGGGTATTTCAAGGCAAGCTTCTTCATCATGTAAGCCAGGTAGTCGGCATCGTAGCTCGCGTTAATGAGCTTCAAGTCAGTCTCGGGGTCCTACCGGGGTCGCCAAAGCGAGCTTGCCCCCAGCAGGCGTGCGGAGCTTAAGGTTTGGGTTCAGGATTTAGGGTTTAGGGTTTAGGGTTTAGGGATCGGGTTCAGGTTATAGGGGCGGTATAGGAAGGCTTAACATGTAGCTAGTATAGTCTTCGGGACTAGACACACTATCCAAGAATCGAGGGCTTAGGGTTTAAAGGGACCCCAGACCCTACCTCAAGCCCAAATAACCTACCTTGTAATTACTTATATGGGTAGTTGTCAAAATTATGGTCCCTTTTTAGGTACCCTGAATAATAGGTGCCGTATTATAATAAGGACCCAAAAAGGGACCATAATTTTGACAACCACCCATATGAAGAAATCATGGTAATCAACCCAAAAAAGGAGGGTCCAGGTAAGCCCTAAACGAGAGGAAGTCTTATTTATGATTCCACTCTCTGGATTCGGGTTTGGGATTCAGGGTTTACCCAAGGGATCCAAAAACTACCGGTTCTACCCTCTATTTAATATAGGGTTTAGGGTTTAAGGCTTTGTGCATTATCGGGTTATGACGTACAATTTTGTAGGTTTCGGGGTCACAGGTAGGGCTCACGGTCCTCGAGACCCAGAAGGTCTATGTCTAGTGCCGATGACAGAAATAAGTCACGGCAAACCTAAACCCAAAACCACAAAAAAATCCTGAACCCTAAACCCGCAATGCTTGACCAATGAACCCAACCCATTCTGGGCTCAGCAGCGGTCAGTCGAGGGCTCAGTGTCTGGGGATTTTGAAGCCCGATGCTCCGAACCCCAAATCCCTAATATAGGAGCCTTAATAAGTAGAACACGGTTCTGCGATATATTATGCTATGATGGTAATAAGGAGCCCCCAAAATGATATTGCTTAGGCCCCATTTAATAAGCCTAGGGTTTGAGACTGAGGTTTAAAGCTGCAGGGTTGCTTGCGGTAAACCTTAAGTTCATCCTAAAGCCCAAACCTATAAACCCTGAGCCGTGCCTTCATGGCGATGCGTGCCACCTGGCGTCCGATGCGGCCGAAGCCGTTGATGCCCACGCCCACGGCCTGCCTCAGCAACTAATGTAGGGCGTAGGGGCCTAAATTCCTAGAATAGGCTTTTAGGGGTTCCTTATTATAGCATACCCCCAAACCCAATTCTACTCATTAAAGCCCCTATATTACATGCATTTGGGGTCAACAGGGGGTCGCGGGCTGCCCGGGGTCCAGTAGGGCTATATCAAAACGGGTTTAGGGTTTAGGGGTTTAGGGTTTAGGGTTTAGGGTTTAGGGTTTAGGGTTTAGGGTTTAGGGTTAAAACGGGTGGGGTGATATAGCCCAGGAGCCTAACCCTGCACCATTATGGTTCCATTCGCTTGGGTGACGCTCTCATGGGCTTTGGTCCCTAAACCCTAAACCATTTGGGGTGTGTATATGGACTTGACAGGTTTCGCATGTTCGCGTATAGGATATGTTAGGCCCACCAAGAAGCCTGCAAGCTGCATCGTTCCCAACCACCACAATGGCAAAACATATGGACAGGTGCGGCCCTATGACTTAGGATCCTAAACAGTTGTAAGCTTTAAACCCTGAGCGTGGCATCCATCACTACATCCGGCAAGCTGCTAGACCCTCAAACCCTAAAACCGTAACCAAGCGTTTCCAGAACAAGCTGCATGGAGGTGCGGCCCTTGCTGGCCCGCTGGCCCGCCACACCGGCGGCGGCGAGGCCGGCCACAGCGCCGAGGCCGGCCATGGCACCCATGGAGCCCTGTGCAGGGGCTTAGGGCGCTTGAGGTCTTGGGTTTTGAGGCCAGATTTCGCTGGATTGTTGTAGAGGTAGTAGTTTTTGTATATAATCGAACACCAGCTCTGTACATGTATTACCATACTTTTGTACATCAGTTTTGGGTGTATTATGGTGTATTGCAGTCAAGAGGGTTTCGGGTGTTGAGAGGTCTTTGGGTCTCAGAGGGCTGCGGGGGTGCACAGGATCGTGCAGGGACGGGTCGGGTCGGGCTTAGTGTTTAGGGCTTAGGGTGTTTAGGGTTTAGGGGTGAAGCTTAGGGTTTAGGGTGTTTAGGGTTTAGGGTTTAGGGGTGCAGCTTAGGGTTTAGGGTGTTTCGGGTTTGGGGTTTAGGGTTTGGGGTTTAGTGTTTAAGGTTTAGGGGGCTTAGGGTTTGGGGTGAATGGTGTTGAGTGGATGGTAGTATATAGACACAGAGTAACCAGAACAGGCTGTTGGGCTTGTTATAGTTTACTCGTATCGTATAGCGATCCGAAGACCAACAATCAGCAACTGCTCAAGCCCCTAGACTCGAGACTTTGGCAGCTTGATCGGTAAACCCTAAACCCTAAACCCTACACCCTAAACCAAAACCCTAAACCCTAAACCCTAAACCACAAGAGGTGTGTGGGTTTTAGGGTCGGTCGTCAGCAGTGTACGGCTTTGGGGGTTCAGGGATTTAGGTCGAACGTTTTGCGTGATCTGCAGAAGTGCTAGAGAACTGCCAACTGCTCTTGCTCTTCTTGGGTTGGCGTTCTGAATTTCGCAGCGTCCTCAGAGCTTTGCGATTTAAGCCTTGAAGCTGAAGGAGCCCAAACAAATCAGGGCCGCAACAAGTAGAATAGGGATATGGAGCTCATATTCAAGTAAACCCAAAACCTATACAATCCAGGCGCTACCCTAGGCAGCCCTGAAGACTAAACGCCAAACCACAAGCCCACAAACCGAATATAAAGCCCTTTCAGGCCCAAATCACACACTTCTAGTCAGTAACTCTAAAGGTTTATAGAAACCTACGCTCAACCCGAGACGCTAGAGACCCATACCATAACGCCCTAACCCCAAATTCCTAAACCCAAATTCCTAACACAAATAAGCCCTACCTGTGACCTAAACGACCTACCTTTTTAAGGAACCATATATAGAAACCATAATAAGGAACCCTAAAAGGTAGGTCTTTTCGGCTACATGTAAACCCTAAAGCCCCAAGCCCTAAAACCACAAAACCCTAAATCCTGAACCCAAATTCCTAAAACAATGAGCCCTAAACCCTAAAGCCCAAAACACTAAACCCTGAACCCAAATTCCTAAAACCATAACCCCTAAACCCTAAACCCTAAACCCCTAAAACCCTAAACCCTAACCCCAAACCCTAAACCCCTAAACCCTAAACCCTGCGCCTGGGAGGAGGCTCCATAGCCGGAGGCCCTGAGGTTCGTCTTCGGGGTCGGGCGCTGAACCTGCTTTCCGGTGAAGGCTCTCGGGCTTTAGGGTAGGGTTTATAAGGTTTAGGGAATTAGGGTAGGGTTTTAGGGTCTAGGGAATTAGGGTAGGGTTGAGGGTTTAGGGATTTAGGGTAGGGTTGAGGGTTTAGGGCTTTAGGGCATGGTTTAGGGTTTAGGGAATAAGGGTAGGGTTGAGGGTTTAGGGCTTTAGGGCAGGGTTTAGGGTTTAGGGATTTAGGGTTTGTAGGGATTTAGGGGTTTTGGGTTTGTAGGGGTTTAGGGGTTCAGGGATGGCGGGGTTCAGGGAAAAAGGGCCGGGGTTTAGGGTTTTAACTTAGGGCCTAGGATTTAGGGTTTCAGTGTTTCAGGTTCTAGGTTTAGGATAGGGTTAAGGGCATAGGGTTTGGGGGTTTAGCGAGTTGAGAGGTTTACCAACGACCTTGTGATGGCCCTATGACCTCAGTCCTAACTCCCAACCTACCAGTGGCTTGAACTGCGGCGCCTTTGGCTGAGTTGCTGAGTCCAAGCGCCCAGCAAAAGTGCAAGCTTTGAGTTCTATAAGGGATAGTTTTGAACCTGAGAAAGGTATAAAGTGCACTCATTAAACGCTAAACCCTAAACCCCTAAATCCTAAACCCTAAATCCTAATCCCTAAACCCTAAACCCTAAATCCTAAACCCTAAACCCTAAATCCTAAACCCTCACACTAAGTTGGGGTCGAAAGCTTGGGGTTGCAGATTCGTTCGGCTCAGGGCTCACGGACCCAAAAGGAAGACGACTACTAAAAGTTAAAACTACCCAGAGAGCCCAATAATCCTTAAATGCAGCGGTTTAGGGTTTAGGGTTTAGGGCATATACCTCATAGGGGACTTCATGATACATATGATACTATATTTCTCAAAACAGGTGAGTGTTGGGGTATCTGGGTGTGGATGGAGTGTAAGGGTGTTGAGCGGAGTCTCTACGGGTTCTGGCGTGCAGGGCTCATGTTAAGGTAATTTTTGCTTCAATTGAGGATCCAGGGATGCAGGCCTCAGTGATGGGTGTCAGCATAGTTCGGCAAACGAGCCGGTGTTTGCCATTCGTCGATCTGAGCCGGAAAAGTGAGAGCAAAGGTGCCCATCAGGGCGACAGTAGCTGCACGCAGACCTGGCCGGAGAAATCGATGCAGTGCTGCTGCATTGGATTGTAGTTCTGGCCAAGCCAGGTCGCCTCGAGCAGTTTTGCAGTAGAGGCAAAGCCAGCACGTGGGGGATAGCGTTCTGCTGCTTGGCATTCACCATCCCCTGCAGCCGTGGATGGGCCCAGAAGGCAAAATCAACACCAAACTCTGCAGGACCTATTCCTAGACCCCCCAACTACCCTCTATTATACCCAAATACCTACTATTAGGGACCATAAGGGCCCCATTAAAGGGCCAGTGGGGGGTCCTGGTTATAAGCCCCGAACTTCCATTAAGCGGAAAACCTTTGCGCCAACGCTATGGAACCCTGTTACAAGCCTTCAGAGGCCTTATTTCCGACAAATTTCCGAAGTCATGGAGTCAGTACGGTTTTAAGGTTTAGGGTTTAGGGTTTAGGGTTTAAACCCAAAACTGCTGCGACGTCAGAGTTTGATCCCCAAGTTCCAAACATTGCAACCCCCAAACCCTAAACCACCGTCTAGAACCCCTACAAAACACACCAAGAACCTTCATACCTATAGTCTCCATTGTAGTTCCTTTTTTTGGTTTAACCCTTTTGGATCCTAAAAAGTAACCCCAAAAAAGGAACTACAATGGAGACTATAGGTATACCCCTTAAAACCTCAGGTGCCAAACTCCAAGCCTCCAAAAATCCTACATCTTCAAAAGCCTCCTTCGAAGCCCCAAACCCAAAACCGGGCCCTTTAGAAGGTTTAGGGTTTAGGGTTTAGGGTTTCGGTTTAGGGTTTAGGGTGAAGGTTCAGGGTTTAGAATGGAATGCCTACAAGAAGACCTGTAACAATCCCTTGTGGACCTCAATGGAGGAAACCCGAAAGAACTTTCATGCCGCAGCTGTAGGCCCTGCATGGGTTCAAAGAGCCCCAACAACGGCGCATTCCATTAACGCAGACTTAAAGCCTTGCGACTTACAAGCTTCCCCCAAAACAACAGCCCTATACACCGCCCTGCAAAAGCCTGTAGAAAACCCTATAAGTGTCTTGAAACATTTTTTACAGCACGTTTATTACCCGGAAAAACACCTATGAGAAGCCATGCAACCACCAACAAAAAGTGCAGCCCGATCAAAACCTAGAACTCCTGAATGGCCTGGCTGCTGGGAGCCACGAAGGCCACCGCAGAGGCGGCAGCGACGGCTCCGGCACCTGGGAATGTTCGACCATTTTTGACGGGGCTTGAAGGAGCATTGAAGAGTTCTGCAGGAGTTTGGGGTTTTGTCACGGGGCTTTGCTTTGAAGACTCCTAAAGGATCTTATAAGGCGTGTGCTAGCAGTCTTGTGAGACTTATCTTGTCGGTTTCATGAGGGGTCGGCATGGGGTCTATGCGGCTGCTGTGTGATTTTGCGATTTCTGTGTTCCAGAAGTGGTGTTACTACATATATATGGGCTTGATAAAGGATGTATCAGGTTTCTGAGGCTTCGATTGGGTGTTTTGAGGGCTTTGCGAAGGTTTCTAAGAGTCAGGACTTAGCCCTAGACCATAAACCCTCAATGTAGAGGCCTTAATAATTAGATTAGGGCGCATTATAACATCCTCTTGCAGACCCTCGGCAAGTATATCGCAGTATACCAGTGACCCCAAAAGGCCCCGCAAGAACCCTAGAAGACACCTACTGTAATTCTTATAAGCTGCCTCTCCATCGAGAAAGATCGGGCCTAGCACAGGGGCCTGGAATTATTGGAACAGGTTTTTTGGGGTATACCATACTAGAACTATGATATAGGGACTATGAGAGGATGATAGTACTACGGTTGATGATATAAATCCTGCATTACCCATAATAAGGAATATACCATAGTTATAATAAGGAACCCCCCAAAAATACTATTGGTAATTACTGAGGCCCCTACAGTAAACCAGAAACGCTAAAATCAGTTTGGCCCAGGGCACCAGCCATGGCGATGTTGGCTGCAGCAGACGGCATGGCGACTTAGACGTCAGAGAATGACCGGGCGGCGATGGGCTCTCAAAATGAGCTGCGGTTCATTTTGCGGACCTGGGGTTTCTGGGAAAACGATATTCTACGAATATGGGGACTACAAGGGGATACTGGTACTATTCGCTTACAAGTGATTATTCCGACCCTGTGTTACGGTATCCTTGGCTGGGAGTTGTGGGATTTAGGCTCAAAAACATTAGACTCTAGAGCTTAAGGCTTTGGGGTTCTGGGCTTACGGTCTGGCTTCGGATCGAATGTCCAAGGTACTTTAGGGGTGTAGGGCCAGTGTAGGGTTTAGGGTTCGAAGGATCCTTAATCAGGACCCCTGCATAGGCTACCCTTCCCACACAAGATACACTCGCCCACATTCCCTCGGAGCGTTGTATACAATCCTAATTAAACCGCCTAAACCCTAAACCCTACACCCTACACCCTAAACCCAAATCAAACCCCTACACTCTAAAACTCGAAGTGAACTAACCCTAAACCCTAGACCCTAAACCCTAAACCCTAAACCCTCAAATCCTCTAGCCTTAAAATCCCCGTCACGCGTAGAAAGCCCAGTTTCGAACCCCTGAAGGATCCCTTCCTCCCCCCCGCAAAGGTCCCTAACCAAAACCCTTAAAACCTTACAAAAACGTTAGGCCCTACAACCCTGTTAAACACCCTAAATCCTAAATTGCTTCTTGAAAAACCACTGCCAAAGCCCTAAACCCTAAAACCCTAAACCCTACAACCCTAAACCCCAAACCCTAAAACCCTAAACCCTAAACCCCAAACCCTAAAACCCCTAAAACCCCTAAAACCCCAAAACACAAAAACCCTAAAACCCCTAAACCCTAAACCCAAAAACCCCTACAACCCTCAGGGATGTAAGCCTTGCCTTCCGGGAGGTTCTCCGAGGAGCTCTGCGCGGAGCGCAGTAGCCGGGCCGTCTCCTCGGGCGGCTTTGGAGTTTTGTGTAGGAGCCTTAAGAATTAGAATACGGGTTTGGGGCTTTAGGGCTTTAGGGCTTTAGGGTTTTAGGGTTTAGCGTTTAGGGTTTAGGTTTCTGGGTAATGTAGGAGCCTTAATAATTAGATTAGGGTTTAGGGTTTAGGGTTTAGGGCTTTAGGGTTTAGGGTTTAAGGCTTTAGGGTTTAGGGTTGAGGGTTGAGGGTTTAGGGTTCTGGGTAATGTAGGAGCCTTAACAATTAGAATATATAGTTTCAGTCGAAGGCTTCTTCGGGGCTTGGGGCTGGCGGTCGAGGGTTGGTGCTTGGGGGAAGGGTTCTTTACGACTTTGGCGCTTCAAGACTTCTCTAAGGGTTGCTGCTGGGGCTTCTACCATGGATCTATAACGATAGATAGATAGATAGATAGATAGATAGATAGATAGATAGATAGAGAGAGAGATAGAGAGAGAGAGAGATATATATATATATATAGGATTTTACGTTTAGAGCTCGTCAGAGTATCTATGAGCTTTGGGTGCGTTTGGTTTGGGTTTTCATTTAAGAGGTTTAGGTTCTGGGAAACAGGTCCTCGAGTTGGGTTTTAGGACTCAGGTCTACAGGCTTCGATTGGGGCTCAGAGCTGTTCTTGTTCAGGACAGCCACTTCCCACCAGCACGGAAAGGATCACGGGACCTATCCCTAAGGGTCCATGTACCCAACTAGTAGAAAATAAGCCCTAAAGTACCCAAATAGGG